GTCAAATCTTCGAACGTGAATTCCTGCTCTTTCTCCAATAGATTTGAGAGAAGTAATTAATGAGGCATTGTGGTAGCAGCCTGCGTTATCAGATTTAAGATAAGCCGTCAATACATTTTTGTGCTCTTCTTTAATAGTTGAAAGGAGGTGCTCCAGAATAGAAACAACAGAAAACCAGTCTTGGGTGCAAGTATCGAAGACATGAACGAAGGTTTCTACCGAGTGACTTTCACTACCAGACCTGAAAATAACACAAGCAACATGCCAACTCTTCCCCCGTTTACCATAAAAGTCGCTCATTTGTTCTCTGTATCTTTTCGCAAGGTACTTCATGGCCCAGTCCATTATGATTAAAATGCTATCGTCAGTCAATGCACTGAGAACGTCCTGCTTAGCTTGTTCTTGGTTAACGGATCGAAGAAGATGAGCTTTCCAATCGTGGATTGTGTCCACTGCATGGGTAAGGTCAAACGCCACTTGACTCTGCTGTTGGTCTGTGAGAGTCACATTTGGACAATTTATCATGTTCGTAATGTCACTGAGAACTTCATCCAGTTTGCAGCAATAGTTGCATTGTGCTGATTACGTTTGGAATAGTGATTTTTTCTCCTGAATCAATCTTCAGTTCCTTAATGCCATAAGCAACGTCCTGAAGGATTTGGGGCGTGTTCGTTTTATCGGTATCGGTACCACTTGATGGCCTGGTCCTTCTTTAGCAGCATGACGTCGAGCACGATTGATTTGCCATTTACTAAGACCTGGAATCATCTCCCGGAGTTCCTGTTTCAAAAAATGTCTGGAAAACATAGATAGATTGGTTGTAGGCTTCAAGCAAAATTGGAATTTCGTTGCTAAAAGCATTTTCCTTAACATCATCGCCGGGTTTCTCTTGAATGTCATAGCCTGAAGAACGCAGCAGAGCTTCAAATACTTTATCTTCTTGATCTGGAGCAATTGTTGAGAGAACCTAAGAGAAAACCTGGTGTACTTTTCGTAAATAATAACATTTTTGTGAGCTTGATGTACTTTCCCAGTTCGAACAAAGAGACAATGCTATTGGACTGACTCTTCCCTCTGTGATACGTGAAATGGCTTCATTCAAAACTATGTGACTTTCCTGATGACTTTGTTCTTCATCTATCCAAAAACTGACTTCCTGATCTTCATCTTCAATGCTACAAACGGTTCTATCCAAGGTGATTTCAACCTCTTCGTCTCGTGAAGTTGGATCTGATGAAACTTCCAGGAAAGCAAATGCAGCGTTTAAATTTGTTTCTTCAGCCTCTTCCACAGGACTTATTTTGTTTCCAGTGTCATTACTTTCATCATTTCCTTGTTCCTACAAAGTGTGTTAGTTATACGGTAACTTACTAACTTGTAGCAAACTTGCAACTGACGCGTGGATTCAACAAATGATCTATACTAGTCATCAAATCTCACTCAAAAGTTTGAACACCACCTTTAGGGACTCTCCAACGACAATCCTTATTCATCACTCACCCGTCTACATAAAAAATACTCAAGAAGGGTGATACACATCTTTGCGATAATTTATCATAACTGTCTAAAATTAACATAATAAAAATCGATAGACTCAATTCGCCTTTTGTTTGAAAAATAAATATTTCTGTCACATGTCCCGTTATGGTCAATTCCTGGAATGTAATAAAACGTGAACAACAGAATTATCTTTTTCCGTTATTGCACTGCTGTTCCCCATATGACCGTGACCGGGATGATGAGTCAAATTGATTTCACGAATACAATGGAACCTCGATATAACTGACGATAGTTAAGGGAATGCCAATATAAGCTCGCTATACTAAACTACATTTCGGGGGTTAATTTCCATGGACGTCACTCTTTACTGGTGTGAAGAATATCGTTTGTTATGCCGAGGTCGTAGTAATAAATGCTTTCGTCATATCGAGTTTCCCCTTCCCTCCTAGGTCACGTGACACTTATGTGCTATAATTACCTGCGGGGTACTCCCGTTCGAAAGGGGTGGGGATACTCGTCGATAATTTTGAATTAAACCCCTAAAGGACTGACTCTTGAGAAAGGAGAGAAGCGCGAGGGGTGATGGAAGGAGGAAAGGGGAAGGGAGAAATGACTGGCAGATCCTGAGTTGAAAAGTTGTGCGAGGTCGTTTTTGTGATTTTTTTCGCCGTAGTTGTATTTATTATGGCCAATTGGCCTACTTGACGTATTTTTTTTCATCGGTCGCTGTTACCAGAAGTGTTTTTGCGTGTTCTTGGTTTTGATCCAAGATGGCATCCGGTGAAGATCCCACGTGTTTGACTTGTGAAGTTTCCGGGGAAGATGTAAGCTTACAAGAATTGAACAAGTCCATCGACGAGCTTAGTATTTGTGGTAGGTATATTAAATTTTATGATTTTGAATTTATTTTGTGCTATTCTTCTACTTCATGAAGATTTTAACATAATTTCACGATTTAAAGCTAAGGTATGTAAACATATAAAGCTTATGATGTGTATTTTCTATAGATGAACCAGACAGTAATCTACCATCAACAAGCACTCCAGTGAAAGTTCAAAGAAGGCTTGCGTACCAGTTCGATCGGTCAGCTACAGGCAATGGTGACAGTAATGATGATGACAATAGAAGGGGAACAAAACACGATTTGACTCCTGGTTCGAAGCAAAACCCAAGTCCGCCAAAGACAAAACGCTTTCTTGTTGGTAAAACAATTTCATAATCACAGTTTCCTCGATTGTTAGTTCTTCCTTGATCACTTCATTCGCACTACTCGATTGGTTGCAGTTTTCTTTAGCTTACTATGTTGTAGTTTAAGCTTAACTTTTGTGAATTGGGAATTGTTACATGTATAAAGCTACTTTTGTTGTTGTTCATGAATAAAACCTGTGAGGGCTGTAGAATGCTATCTGATGTCCTTCACATTGGAATTGACCATTTAATGCATATTAGAACAACACATTATAACAAACTGATCTATTGTATATATGGAAATGTAAATTATATATTGTTATTATTATACATGTAGTATAAATGGCCAGGTATTCTAAACTTGCGCCAAATACTGTTAAACATGTAGGTGGTAAGCCATCTGGCAAGGAAGTTGTGAGGAGAAGGTCCAAACTGGAGGCTGCTTTAACTGCTGGATTTGTGTAGGAAGAAAGATTTGAAGTCTCGCAAGAATCTGTGTTGGCCTATCTTGATCTTAATGAAGACTCGGCTTCATTACTTACACGAGCATTGGAACGTGTATACCAGGGGTATCAACCAGGCGGAGGAAAGAAGATAGCATGTATCCTTTACCTCAAATTGTGATTATTGCTAACTTCATGATAAGAAGTCATAATTATACAGTTTCTAACAGTGCACATAAATGTTGTGCCCCGTGTAAAACACCCACTGCATTGCTACTGACAAACATTTTGCCTGTCATATGTGGAAATTGTTGTCAGCTACATGAGCATGTAATGAGAGGAAATCACCAGCATAGTTGTGCCTAGAAGAGAACTGGAGAGTATTGATTTGGTTATTGCAATTGATTTCTGAATCCTCCTTGACAATATCTATAGCACCTTTTATGTCAATCTGAAAGCCAAGACTCATTTCTCTTGCACTAACCCTTATAAAACATTGCCAGGTATGTGAAATGTTACATACATTTATACTGTATATAAACATGTTTATTCCAGTACCAATTGAAGGTTAGCGTCTGAGACTAATGAGCTGAGACCAAGACTGAGAGCAGTATTGACTGAGAAGCAATCTTTATCCGTCATATTTTTTACTATGTTTACAGGGAATGATTATGACTTGGTTGTTTAATATGTATTGAAATGTGGTATTTGTGATATTCTTGCTCTATTTCATTTTGTGTTTATCCAATGAAGCTTTGCTGAAATCAATAATTTATTATTGCTCCTTTTGGATTTTAGTTACAGCTTGTTCTCAGAGGACAGCCATAATAATTTGTAGGGAAATCAAGAATTGTTTGGGGTATTTTTCTTGTAGCTGAAATGGTCAATATCCAGCAGAGACTTGTAGCAAATGAGCAAGTTATGAAACAAATTCGGCTGCAGTTGTCTACTGCCACCGAGGGTCTGATTGAAGTGCAAGTACTCTTGGCTGAATTTACACTAGAGGCACAAGAAAGAGACCGTCTTATGAAAACATTGCTCACTTCCTTTGAAAATGAACTTGCCAATGCAAGGGCTGATGTTGAACATGTAAAGTTGGCAAGACAACAGACTGAAACTGTTGTTAGAGAAATTAAAATTCTCGAGGAGATTTGTAACCGTGGGGTGAGAAACTGCCAAGATGTTGATTTGGGTGAAGTCAACACTCCATCACTGTTTAATGAATTTGTTGATGCTGTAAAGGAAAGGTGTCCCTTGCTAAGAAACATTGTTGAGACTTTGGTTGTCACCAATGCCACGGAAAGAAATGTCCACAAGACAAATGAACAGAAAGTGCTTTGTGGGCATCATGCCTTGGCCCTCCT